AGACGCCCCATCCTGATAATCGACTGAATTGCTTACACGGACTTCTTTGGTCCACTTGTTACCACCCCAGATACGGTCTAACAGATTTACTGTTACGTGCCTGGACGGGATGTGAATCTCGATTTGGAAAGTTCCTCCCAGCACCAGTGACTGACTACATGTTCTCAAGAGATTTTCAATACTGCAGTGAAAGAGCTCACTGCGTCAAAATATGGTACGCGATCTGGCGTCATGGAAGGTTCCAGTGGGTACTCTCGGTTACAGGGAAAACGGAGAGCTTCAAATGGTTGGCATTTATTCTAAGTGTAAGTAACTGCACTCCGTCAGAGCCCATCAATCACACCAAGCTGGCAGGATCCGTGCTCACTTTCAAGACAAATTAAAAGCAACATCCGTAAGAAGTCATACTTCAGTGTGATTAAAACACAAGTGAGGAACATGAATCTGGGCATTTCTTGACCGTTCACCCATTTTCTAAAGCAGTGAACACAGCTCCTTTATGGAAACACAGCACAGGAAGCTGGTTTTTTGTCTTTTTGGTTTTTGGTTTTTGTGTTTTAAATCCCAAATATTCCATACCCTTCCATGCTTTGTTACTGAAGAAGTACCAGTTCTGTCATTACTTCCCTCTGTTTGGTTAGAACGATTTTCTTCCGTGGCTTCGTCCCCTTTCCTAACACTGCATCATGGCAACTCCACTCCAGCACTGCCATTTGCACCCAGACAAGTTACTGACTCCTCAGTTTCCCCATCTGTAGACCGGGGATAAATGGGCGATCCTGCACAGAGGTTTGCAAAACCTCATCGCTGCATGTTCAGAAGGACCATCTCAGACGGCTAGAAATCGGCCTGTGGCAAGACCGCCTCTGGCCTCCCTGCTGAAGGGAGGTGCGGCATGAAGAAGGCTTCCATACAGGTAACTGTCTGGCCTGTGCACATTTCTGTCTCTTGGGGGAAAAGACGCGTGGCTGATGCCCTGCCCGTGCAAGAAGGAATAGATGCTGAAAACACAGCCCACATTTTCTACGAGCTTCATGAGTGACTTCACCCCTGGGGGAACCGGAGACCCTTTCAGGGCACCCCTCCCAGGTCACAACTATTCTCGTAATTATACCAAGATACTATTTGCCCTTCTCACTGTGTTGATTTCATTAACGGAACAAAACAAAGGTGGATTTAGCATCAGGGAAATGCTAATCAAAACCACCACGAGACAACAACCGTTTCACACCCACTAGGATGGCTATCCTCAAAAGACAGATAATGGAGTCCTGGGGAGGATGCGGAGAAATTCTAACCCTCATGTAGTGCTGGTGGGAATGCAAAATGTTGCAGCCGCTTTGGGAAACAGGCCAGAAGTTCCTCAAAAAGGGAAACAGGGTTACCGTGACAATTCCACTTGCTGGTATATGTACACAAAATACAGAAAAAATGGGTCCACATTTGTGTGGCTCAGTTGGTTGAGCCACTGACTCTGGATCTTGGCTCAGGTCATGATCTCAGGGTTCATGAGTTCGAGCCCCGCACCAGGCTCTGCACTGACCGTGTGGAGCCTGCTGGGGATTCTCTCTGTGTTCTTCCTCCACTTGTGAGCTTTCTCAAAGCAAATAAACTTAAAACATTTTTTAAATTTTGTTTCTTAATGTTTATTTCTGAGACAGAGACAGAGCATGAGTGGGGGAGGGACAGAGAGAGAGGGGGACACAGAATCTGAAGCAGGCTCCAGCTCTGAGCTGTCAGCACAAAGCCCGACGTGGGGTTCGAACTCACAGACCGCGAGATCATGACCCGAGCCGAAGTCGGACGCTCAACCGACTGAGCCACCCAGGTGCCCCAAACTTAAAACATTTTGAAAAAAATAGTTCCACATAAAAACTTGCATACAAATGTCTGAGGGGGAATAAATACTAATAATTAAGAACTATAGGGGAAACCCAAAGGTTCACCGATTGGTATGTAGATAAGCCAAACGGGGTATCATCCATCCAATAAAAGGAGTCAAGTACCCACACGTGCACAAGTGCAAAGAGATCTTGAAAACACCGATAAATTGAAGAAATTAATGACAGGTTCCATACTGTAGGAGCCCATTCATACGAAACGCCCAGAAAAGACCAACACACAGAGACAGAGAGTAGATTAGCAGGCTGCGGGTGGGGGTGGGGGTGGGGAAAGAGTTCAGGAAAATGGGAAGGATTTTCCCTGCTGATGGGAACAAGGTTTCTCAGGGGAAGCAGATGACAGCACTCCAAAGGTGACTATAACGATAGACACACAACTCTGCGTGTACTAATAACTATTAAATCGTACACTTTGGGTAAATTTTGGGATTTGTGAATCATAGCTCAATAAAACTATTTTCTTTTTTAAACTAGCACTTAACAAGAAGGAAGGAAAGACAAGCCAGTTTTCATTTCAGGGAATGATAAAGTATAAATTGTCAGTAGCACTAAATCCTGACCCCTGAGCACACACACTTTGTGTGACAATTTGGGAAGTACACACCAAGCCCATCCCCTGATCAAAGCAGGTTATTTGTAGGGAAAAGCACTCGTGTGGCGGTTATTTAAGCCACAAGGCAGCAGTTTCATGGCATGCTACGTTTATTTCAAAGAAAGACTGATGTAGTTATCTGTCCATCGTTTTCACCAAAATGAATACAGCAACCCTGTGGTGGGAAATAACGAACAGATTTTTTTTTTGTTATTTGGTTTTTGTTTTGTTGCCAATGATGGAATTCACCATTTGGGGCACAAAATACAGTTGTGGAAAAGCTTTATCTGCCACCATCGAGTCTCAAAGTCTCTCCACACTAAAATACCTCTCTGATGAGGTCAGGGAAGATGAGGATTGTTTGATGGTTGCTTAATGAAAGGTGCTGACCGCTACAAGAGGTAGTCAGGTGAACCGTTTTTTCAA